CCCTCTCCTCCATCGCTCAGGCTCGGCCTCCTTCTCCCAAAACTGATTTCCAAATGGTGCCGAGCAACACAGCCACCAAACGGTGCTGGTGGCAGAGGAGCAAACAGAAAATCATAAATATTGGCTAACAAGCCTTGCTATGGCTTGGGTTACTGAGCCCCTCTCCTTTTCTTTTTGTTTTAATTGAGAACATTCTTAGGCGCAGTTTGCAAATACCCTGCAGAGAAGATGCACCCACATCAGACAGCAGCACCCTGACAACCTCCCACATCCTGCCCAGGCCCTCGACACACAGGTCCTCACCCCTGCAAACATCTGTCAGCTCCCAAGCCAGGCTCATACAGGGAAACCTTCTCAGAGCGGGCCTCGAGCATTGAGCATCACCGAGAGCAGCACCCACTGCCGCTCTGCCTAACTTATCGCTGGAGCCCAGCCTGGGCATCACCGGGCTGCTCCGGGTGAGGACCTCTGCTCGAGCTCTGGTATCAAAAATGGTGGGAAAGTCCTGTGGCAGCACACACACCGATTAGGGTGTTGATCTTCAGGTGTCTGACAAATACAAACACTAGGTAAGACCAGGGTATTTATTCATGATCCAGTTCCTCCTCCTACAGAACCAAGCTGGGCAGCTGCTCCTGCCACAGCAGCAATGTCCCGGCTCTGGCTGTGCTAACCGGGGCTTCGACTTTAGGGACCACGCTCACTTGGCTGTCATTCTGTGCAATGGACAGGTCTGCACCTAAAGGTCTAGACTAAGTCTGCTCCATATGACCACAGGACACACTCCCAAGCCTCCCAGACGACCTGCTCCCCATCACAGAGGAGACGCACCCAAATGTGCCAGTATTAGCTAACAAGGACCGGCTGGTCTCACCACAGAAGGCCTGCAGGGTGTCAGTGCTGACTGGAAACACACACAGCTGTGTACACCAGGAGCCCCTTGATTCATCCTGGCCTCAAATGGCCTGATGGTGTGTCTGACCACTTCCCATCACCAAAAGGAAAGAATCAGCAAACTTTACTTGTGTGTATCACACGCTACATGCTTGATATAGGGCTGGCAGAGCAAGCCCAAAACCCATGTACAACTGGCCATGGCCCCTCCAAAGGCCTCGCTTCTCAGCCGAGGATGGAGTCAAGTGCAGAAGAGGGCCTCAGGTCTCAGTGCAGGCAGGGGCACCCCGCACCCTCAGAGAGTTGGCTGTGACCGTGCACATAGGAGGGGGACAGTCAGGACAGAAAGGGAGTCATAATTGCGAAGGACATGGGGCCTGAAGTTTAGGAAACTGCTGCTTTACAGGGGTTAAGATTTCCAGACAGGAGCCTGTGCTATGACAGCCTGTCCAGCTGTGTTTGCTTAGAAAGCAACATGTCCTGGTCTTTGTCCCTTTCGCTGAGACTGGGCCTTGCCCTTGGGGCCACTTTCTGACCCTTCCCTTATCTAAGCACTTGACCTGGTATCTAGGCAGGTGAGGGGTGGGCCTGCGAGGGGCTGAATTCCTGAGCCAAGTCAGGACTTGGTGGTGAGTTCAAATAGAAGTTGAAATTGGAGCTGATACTGTATCCAAAAGATTTTCTCCTTTCTATAGACTTTAATTCTACAGCCTTAGAATGTCAAGGGTCCCAGAACTCCACTCATCTAGCTCCCTATAGTCCTTGGTCAAGGGAAAAAGCAGCCAGTGGTGAGGAAGCGACTTCTTGTTCATGTTGTGACAGAGACACGTGTGCTGAGCAGCCTTGCGTGAGCAGGGCCCTGTCCCGGGCAGTGGGAGCCCAGAGGTAACTTAGGGTTTGGATCTTACCACACGGGGTGCCATTGATCTGCTCCGTGGGACCTGCCAAGAGGGCTGTTGGTTCCCTGATTCCTGGGGAATCTGTGGATGTAGGTACGGGCCTCAGAGTGGTATGCAAGGGCTTCTTTGGCTGTTAGGTTGAAAGCTTGGAAGGGGCCATACTTTCTGGCCCAGAATATCACACATTGGCCCCGAACCCATATGCAGCGAACGGTTTCTGACCCAGCCATGAGTCACGCAGTCAGAATGCAGAGAAGACCGGCATTTCACCCGAAAGGTGTGTGTCTGAATCTGTTCAGGTCCAGGCCAAAACAAGTAAGTCTCTAGTATAAATAAGCTGCACAAGCAAACCAAATCAGCAGAAGAAGGATTCCTCGCAATGAGATGTATGTTAACTTTGAGAAACCCCAAGACTAGACAGGCATGGACCCACCAACTGCCATTTCTTTCACAGAGTGAAATCGGACAGAGCCCACGTAGTGCATGTGGGAAGCCCGTGAGTGCCACATGTGCTGGGACAGTTTGCCCGCTGTCGCTTTCATCGCGTGCATCCTTCCTGAGCAGGAGCAGGCAGTGGCCACTGTCACACCAGGCAAGCCCTTCAAGGGCTGTCCTCAAACTGGTACCGACCCAAAGGTCTCGTTTCCCTGTCTCCAGAATTCTGGCCTAGAACACATGCCTTTCGGTCTGGGTTTCAGCCTCGAACATCACAGATGCCTCAACTCAGCAGAAACAGAAATGCAAGCAGCAAGAAGACTTCCTTCAAATGCTCCCAGGAACCCTCATTTAGGTCCACAACAAACCACACAGCCATCTCAACTTTCCCATCACCCTTCTCCTTTGTCACATTAGCCAGTAAACCAAGTTATGAGCATCGAGGGTGGCACGAGGGTGAGGGGACGATGAGGTGACAAGTATCCATCCAGGGCCATCACCAGCCAGCCAAGTGACCTAGGAAGAGCCAAAGGTCCTGGGAGGCTGTTTTCTCACCTGTGCAATGGAAGTGTCATGTGACTGGCAGAGGTGTTGGCGGGAAATGAGATGCTGTGTATAACACAACAGGGGCTGCTCTCTGGCTGGACATACACAATTGCCACATGGATCACTTTAGACATTACATTGGGTGCATCTGTTATTTTCAAAGCCTAATAGGAAGCTGCATTTCTTGCAGTTAGCCTGTCACATCAAAAAAGTATCGTGAAACTGATGACAATTACGAAGTCTACCACATAAAAAGGGAGATATCTGAAGGAAGATGGATACTTAAATAGTATCTCTACAATACAGATAATAAATCAGGCAGTTAGTGGTTTTGTGCCAGGCAAGCACTCTAGCACTCTACATCCTCAGCTTTACTGTTTTTTAAAAATCTGACTGGAGTATTTGAGCCCAATCACTACCCTCACTAAACCCCTAGCTCTGTTCTGCGCATCCTGCTTTTAGCTAAACTCCAGGGCCTGGGGTTGGTCATGCTGGAATGGCCGAGAAACCCCAAATAAACACTGCTTAGGGCACTGTGCTGAGATCACTATTTTACACCTTAACAAAATCTACCCTGAAGACGGGGAGGGCAGAGTGGAGGTGGGAAAGACAAGTGGATTCTTGCTGGGCATGGTGGAGCATGCCTGTAATACCAGCACTTGGGAGGCTGAGACAGGAGGATTGCAGTGAGTTTGAAGTCAGCCTGGACTACATAGCGAGACCCTGCCTTAAAAGCAAAAACACAAGTCAATTATTCCCATGCTGGCTGAGGGCTAACATAGCTCCCAATTGCCCTTCACCCTGGAACCCTCTCCACTCCTTCAGGATTCCATTCCATTTTCATTATAATTAGCAGAAGAACAAGGAATCCTGTTGTCGCTTTCAGATTATGTATAATATATATATATATATATTTTTTTTTGGTAACAGCCAGACTCACAATGTCAGGTCTGCAACTGCAAATCCAGTGTAAAAGTTTTGGGTAAACTGAGTTTGATGATTTAAGAAAAGGAGCTGGACATTTTATTGATTAGTTAGAACCCCACCCTTTGATTACATGAAGAGAATCCCTTAAACTCCTATCTCAGGTTAAAAGGTAAAACACAAAATATAGCCAGTCCAGGTGGCACACACCTCTAACCCCAGCACTGGGGAGGTTGAGGCAGGAGGATCACAATGAGTTCAAGGACAGCTTGGGCTACATAGAAAGGGCCTGTCTCAAAAAACCCAAAGGAAAACACACACACACACACACACACACACACACACACACACACTGCAGGGTGTAAGCTTTCACCCATGAGGGTATCTATGAGGTTATACTCCAGGTATTGATACAGCTGGCCAACGCCTGGGGCAGAGGAGGGGACCCGAGGGCGACCCCTCCGGTGGCCCCCGCTGCATTACCAGCCCCTGTCCCCCTAGGCATCCACTTGCTTCCAGGATACAAACCCGGCTCGGTTGTCACTACAAACGGCAGGAAGCTCCCCGAGGGACCCTGGGGCTGGCCTCACCATCAATGCCACCAAGAGCAAACTTTCCCGGCGCCCCGTCCCTCGGGACACACACCCTGTCCGGCACCGAGTGTCTGTAGGGTGACTCCAGGGCCCTGGCAACTGCGGCGCCGGCCCGCGGGTCTCAGGAGCCAGCGCGGCGCCCCACCTCCCGCGGGACACAGCGCTCTCCTTGTTCGTGCGCTTCAGCGACAAGCTCCGTGCTCCTGCAGGGTCCGGGGCAGGCGCGGAGGCCGGCGTGGCTCCACGGTCGGCTCTAATTTTTCTCCATCAGATTCATCCGTCGCCTCGACACAGGAGACAGGGGACCGTGGGGATGTGGGAAGAGGGGAGCCGCGGCCGGGCTGATGGACCCGCGCCGGCTCGGTGCGCGCAGCCTCGAGGCCGCACCGTGGGTCCCCGCGTCCCTGCGTCCCCAATGCGGTGGCCCCGCGTGACGCCGCAGCCGCACCAAGGCCAGCCTGGGCGGGGGTCTGGGCGGAGGGAGGCCGAGTCAGGAAAGCCCCAACCTGGCCCCGTCCAGCGCCAGGCCGCCCCCCGCCTCCACCACGGACCCCAGAGACGCCCGAGAGCAGATCTGGACCTCGGGAGCGCCGCTCCCACCAGTCCCCGGCCCGGTCCTCCATCCCGGTCCCCACCTCCATACCCGGGCCCGTCCGCGGTCCCCACCCTAGTCCCCACCTCCACCCCGCTCCGGCCCGCCGAGCCTCACCAGCAGCAGGCGGCGCGCGGCCATCGCGGCTGCGGCCCAGCCGAGCACGCGGCGCTACCTGCGGCCCCCCATGGGCCGGGGCCGGGGCCGGGGACGGGACGCGGGCTCAGCTCCGGCCCCGCGGGAGCGCCGCCCGGCCCGCGCCCTGCAGCAGCGCCGCGCGCGCAGGGACCCGGGGCGCTTGGCGGGGCGCGCGGACCTCGCTGCCCATCGCGGCGCTGCCGGCAGCGCGGCCGGGACCACGCGGGGGGCGGGGGCTTTGTGACGTCACCGGGAGGGGCGGGGCGGGACCGGCTTTGTGATGTCACCGGGGCGGGGCGCAGAGGCAGGGCGCCACCCGGCGAGCGAGCTGGGAACTGCAGTCCGGGCCCCCTGGCCCCCAGGACCCCGCGGACTCTGTAGTGGGATCCGTGCTTGTGACACTGTGACACGCGCGACCGCAGAGTCCCGCGCGCTGCCCCTCTAGGAGCACGCGTGGACGCCAAGCCCAGCCCTGGCCAGAGCACCAGCCTGGTTCCTTACGCCTCGGTGGCTTCTGTTTCACTTGGCTGCAAAGGAGTCAGACCCGCTGAGTCCCGGGGCCTCCGACGCTTCCTCTGACTTCTCTGACTTCAAAATAAACATAATTTTTCAGTTACCTGTTTCAAGACCCAACAGCAGTGACCCAGAAGGAATCTACTAAGACAGGGATGACAACTGTTAGTTAGCATCTTGTCCTTTGGCTCTTTGCTCTGCATACTTTGGAAGAAGCTAAAGAGCAGTATGAGGGTTAATTTCATCTGTACTTGCCAACATCTGTTAATAAGATAAGGATCGGCTGAAACGTGGAGAGTAGCCAGCCTTGTACTGTTTCTTCCTGCACACATAGGGTACTCAGCCGAGGACACTTTGTTTCTTCCTCCATACATATAAGGTGCGGAGCCATGGATACTGTGGTTCTTCCTGTACGTACATAGGGTTTGAGGCCTGTGGATACAATGTTTCTTCCTCCACAGATAAGGTGCCAGGTGTGGATACTAAGTTTCTTCCTCTGTTTGTGTTAGAATCAGACCTAGTAAGAGAGTAGCAATAATAACTGATAGAAAAAAAATTATCAAAAGATACGTAGTAAAAAATTATATATATGCTTCTCTCTCAAAAGTCTTATTGCACTGTCTTCACACTTCTTTTTCTTGGGATGACACGAGATGACCCTTCTTTGCATCTGATGAGAGGAGGCAATCTGGTGATACGAGGTCTGTGACATAGTGTTCCTGGCAGCTGACCTTCCACCGACAGTTGATAGTTGGGATGGCCTGGGGCCACTGAGGCATGGTGTTTTCTGCCAAGTATGGTGACTGAAACCACAGATGAGGGGAGACCCCTGTACATGCTTCCATAAGGACACTGCATTGTTCATACTCTGAGCAGAGACAACCATGTGGCCTACAAAGGAATAATGAGTGTGACCATGCAAGGAGCAAGAGTAGTTTGGAGCCAAGCTCCAAGAGAAGAGCATGCAACCTGTCTACCAAATGGCAAGGCTTTCCTTTCCATGAATACTGTGTATTTATGTGACTACCAGGTGCCTGGCCCTGCCGAGACTGCAGATGCAATGAGAGCCGATCTTGAGCTGGGCTGGTGGTACACAATTATAATCCCAGCATTCTGGAGGCTGAGGCAGGAGGATCACTGCAAGTTCAAGGCAAGCCTCAACTACATAGCAAGATCTTGGAGAGAGAGAGAGAGAGAGAGAGAGAGAGAGAGAGAGAGAGAGAATCTTGCCTTTACAGAACTCACAGTTCTCCCTACCAGGCATAGTGGCAAATGCCTGTAATCCCAGTACTTAGGAGGCTTAGGCAGGAGGATCACCATGAGTTTGAGGCCAGCCTGGATTATGAACTATATAGTGAGATCCTGTCTCAAAAAACAAACAAGCAAACAACAACAACAACAACAAAACCTCACAGTCCTCTCTCAGGAGAAGGGTAAAAATGATTAAAATAGTGAAGCTAAGCCAGGCAGACTGGTGCATGCTAGCACTTTGGAGGCTGAGGCAGGAAGATCGATAGTTCAGTCCCATCTGGGCAATTTAGCTGTCTCAAAATTTATGCATATACGAATGTGGCTCAGTGCAAAAGTCCTGGGATCAATCCCAGTACTGGAAAACAAATAGTGCAGCTATCTACAGATATGGGTGATAGACACTGCCCTTGCCCCCCACGATACACGCACTTACTTTCTACTGATCTGGCAGCTGTCTGGGATAGAAGCAAACATTCCCCAGCCTCCAGTGCTGCCAGTCACTGAGCTGTGAGCAAAGTTCTGGCTGGGCAGAACTGTCATGCGTACCTTCAGGGAAGCCGCTCCTTCCACAATAACTCGTGTCACCAAGACCTGCTAATTGGATCTCCATCAAGTCTAACTTTCTTCAGTCCCTGTCAGTTGTGTCGCCTGCTGCTCTGCAACTCCCTTCCACTCTAGTCTAGATTTCTGGCCTAGAAGATCATGCAAACCTCATGATTGGCCTCCTGCCTTCCGCTTCGCCCGGACCTCTCGGTCCTGCAACAAATCTTTCCTCCACATGTTAAGAAAACTGAGCTTTCCAGAACCCAGATCTGATCACATCCTTCCCTTGTCAAAAGCTCAGCAAATCTGAAGCTCAAAGCCATAAAAAAACCACTTGTATTTCCGCTCACTCTTTAGGATTCAACCTCCTCTTCGCAGCAAGGCTGAGTAATTATGCACAAAGAGAGTACAGGGAGCTTCCCTTTCCTCTCTCCTTTAATTTCCATCCTCACTGCCTTCCAACCCTACAAATCCTCACCCCGGATCCAATGCACTAATCTCGTCACCACATTGTGTTTCTTGACTATCACACCCCTGCCATATCTCCAAGCCTTTGTTACGGGCTCTTTTCCTTTTCTTTCCTCTTCTTGTTGAACTCCTATGAATCCAACCTGTAAAAGCGAACTCAAGTGCACTTCATCTGTAAAGCTTCTGCTGATGTCTTCGCATCACTTTATCCCTGTGGGCAAATAGTTGCTCCTTTCTCTACTTTTCCTCCGCCTGGCTCAGGGACGGCAGGTATGACGCGTATTGTAGTTCTCTGACCTCTCTGTGTCCTTGGCCAGACTGTGAGCACTTTGAAGGCAGAGCCTTTGTCTTAATCATCTTCCTGTGTCCTAGCTCAGCAAATATTTGTTGCATGAAGCAATCTTGGTAAGTTGAACAAACAGCGAAATAGTTAACATGTCTGATGCACCTCTTCTTTCTCTGAGCCTGAACTCAAACATCCTCAGTTGGGCTATACAAACAATCAGGTCTAATCTTGAATATTATTGAAATGCAATGTCCCAGGCATGGAGTAAATAATTTGTCCACAGCTCTGTTTCCTTAAAGGAACTCACTTAGGAACCTGCTATGTCATGGCCTGAGAAGGAGCATCAGCCAATCAGCAACAGATTGCCAGGTGAGGGGCTGGGCAGAATTCTGATCAGGTCCCTGTGGTGACCAGGAAGGCAGCACCCAGGATATGATCAAATGGGATGGAATTGCAAAGCAGGCATTTAGCCAGAGGCTTTCTTCTTCCTTCCGTGGTAAGAAAGGGCATTTGAAAGATAAGACAGCAAGTCCCTACCAAAAGGTCTGATACCGTGGCCTCACTACCCCAAACAATGAGGTGGATACATGATTCCCTTTTTTGAAGAGGTAACAGACCAAAGGAGGGCCTGGGGTTGCCCGTGGCCCGTATGCTTAGGGATCCATGCCTGTAGTTCTTCATTTTGCCCTTGGCTTTCTCCATTAATAGAAGAGTCCATGAGAAAATAGATCTTCCTCTTCACCACTTCCCGCCTCTGATAAAAGACAAAAGGTTTAGTAGTGTAACAGACAGCAGGTTTGGGAGCCACCCGGGATTGGATCACATCCCCAACGTACACTTTATTAAGTGGGTAGGTAGGTGCAGGGAGCTTCATCTTTTTGGGTTCCTTCACTTGATGGGCAGTTGAAGGCTAGCTTCCAGTGGTGATGTGGGAATCCATGAGAGAGAGAGACTCTCAGCACAGGCCTTGTCCCTTAGGATGTGGCCAATAAATCACCACCCCTTCTGGAATCCCTTTTAGGACAGTGATCTTTTATAAACTACTCTGATTTGAGAAGAAACATTGGGCTGGAAAGTTGGAAATTTCTTCAAACACATATGAATTTAGGAAAAGTTGCTTCATCAGAAATGATGCAGTCTGTGGTCCTGAGACATGTGACAGACAGGACTCCCAGCTGCTGGCCTGGGCTGTGCCATTAACCAGCTGTGTCTCTGTGGACAAGTCCCTGCCCTTCTGTCTGTTTGGTATTTTAAGGTTCCTTATATGCAAAATTATGAATGGGGACTCTGTTATCTTTTGTTATCCTTTCTACCCCCGAGACTCTATCTCGTGTGGGATGTTTATCCCTGGTTAGGAAGGAAGGAAGGAAGATGGGAAAGATGATGGGAGAAGGCATGGTTGGGAGGGGGCGGAAGCAGACACGGAGAAGCACTGGGAAGTGTGGAGGGCCATGGTGTTGCTCTCCAGCGGGGATCCATTGGGGTCACTGGTTTCTCCACTTCCCTCAGTGCTCTCTCTGATCTTCTTCCATCTCTCTATCACCATTGCCATGGGAACAAGCAGGGCTGTAGGCAGCATACAGGCAAGGTGTGCTTCCAGAAGCTTCCATGAGAACCAGGGGGATGAGGTGACACACATGAAAGTGTACTGCACAAAGGGTAATTTAGCATGAAGACGGTGGCCCACACTACACACCTTGGGGAGAAAACATGACAGCTCACTCGGTACTGAATCCACCTTCCTTCCCGGGAGTGCGACGTCCTCCATTGGCTTCCAGGCTGAGACTTTACCTTACTGTGTCTCATTTCCTGACTCTCTGATTCTGCCTCATTCTTTGTTTCAATTTCTTTCTATCTAAACATATACCTACCCCCTGGCATCCTTCCATCAGCTCTCTCTCTCTCTCGCTCTCTCTCTCTCTGCCTTTTTCTCTGTAAATCCACTTTTCATCACAGTTTCCACACTGGATTTATTCTGGTTTTTTCTCACTGCTGCCTTCTGCTCTGTTCTTCACT